TGTCAGTCCCGTTGTTTTCTCCTCCAGATTGTTCATCCAGCCTATCCTATCCAGACAGGCCTGCGGAGTTTGTCTCCTGATTTGAAGAGTCTCAGTCCACATGAATCTTAGGATTCAAAGGGTACACTCCATTCCTGGTTCTCCTTCCTTGATAGTAGTGAGATCCCTTGTACCTGCCTTCGAGATGGCTCATTTTAAACACACTGGGTGGCAAAATTAGCCATTCCCCATGTCCCCCCGGAACTGTCAGTCCCGTTGTTTTCTCCTCCAGATTGTTCATCCAGCCTATCCTATCCAGACAGGCCTGCGGAGTTTGTCTCCTGATTTGAAGAGTCTCAGCCCACATGAATCTTAGGATTCAAAGGGTACACTCCATTCCTGGTTCTCCTTCCTTGATAGTAGTGAGATCCCTTGTACCTGCCTTCGAGATGGGTCATTTTAAACACACTGGGTGGCAAAATTAGCCATTCCCCATGTTAGAGCTCCATATGCCCAGTGTGCACGTTTCTAGTCACATGGGCATGAATTAAAAGGACTATTGCTATAAGAGCCATGTCAAATGATTCACAGCACCACAGTTACTATATACATTATAGTTTCTACATTTTAAGAGAAGATAATGATTCCCAAAGGGGCTTTGGTGGCACTGTGGGTTAAACATTGGTCTGCTAACCCCTCAGCAGCTCTGCAGGAGAACAATGAAGACATTCTGCTTCTGTAAAGACTTTTACTGTCTTAGTTCTCTGCCCTATAGGGTTGCTGTGGATTAAATCAACTTGATGGCAGTGAATATTGATGATACCTGGTAATTTGCTTTGTGGAGTTTTTCCCCCTGGAAGCCAACCATTGTTTTATCCTGAGTTCTTTTATAGGACTATATTGACAAATGGACTCTTAAGTTTATAGATGGTTATGTTGCACTAAGCACTGGAAAGGGTCTAAATAAGTCGCCATCACCTTGATGGCAGTGTGAGTTTTCAGTTTGAGCACTCAGTAGGCGTGTGTTGAATGGGTTTTTTCTGCTTCTTTGGCTATCACTAAATAGCTTCTAAAATTATTGTCAATTAATCTTAGTATTAATGAGAAACAATTGAATTAGGCAGGGACTGCATTATAATTTTGTTCTTAACTTTTTTTAAGTGTGCTTTTACACATTTTATTATGTCGTGGTTTTGTATTAAAGTCCACACCTGTGGCCTTGCCCCTTGACAAGTAGCTAAAGTAAAATGATAGGGGCCAGAAGCATGGCTAATGATTATAACTAGAATTTTGGAGAAGGCGTCTTATCTCCCATTAGAAGCATTCAAGGCATTTGAATAGAGCTATGGTCATTAACCCAGATTACATTAATCACCTTATGATGTTGCTTTCCATTTATCAAAAGCTTATATTGTCAGCTACAGAAGTTGATATTCTTAAAGTACTTATGTAACACAACTTTTAAAATTTAGCTGTGGAATGTTGTTTGTAAGATATTTAAATGATATTTTCCACAGCAGTGTTCTTGTTACTGTTGGGGGAAATCTAAAGTGATTTGTCTGGAATATCCCTGTCCCTTTCTTGTTCATAGCATAATGATTATTATGTCATGTGTTGATCCGAGAATCTTTAAGTAAGGAATGTGCTTGTATTTTTCATCATTTATCAGACATAACAAATTCTTGAGATACAAATGTCTTTTTTAGGAGTAACTTTCTAGGAAAGTTCTATATTAGAATTAAAATTCTCAGAATATCACTGTATTGGACTATGCTAAATGAAGGAAGCCAGCCATCAAAGATAATGACTCACATGATCTCATTTATATGAAACATACCGCGTGGGCCAATCCAAAAGACAGCAGATTGGTGGTTGGCAGGTGCTGGGGTGAGGTAGGAGTCGAGAGCGAGTCATTGGTATATAAGGCAGTGGTTCTCAATATTCCTAATGCTGCAACCCTTTAATACAGTTCCTCATGTTGTGGGGACCCCAAACCATAACGTTATTTTTGTTGCTACTTCATAACTGTAATTTTGCTACTGTTATGAAATGGGCAACCCCTATGAAAGGGTCCTTCATCCTCCAAAGGGGTCGGGACCCACAGGTTGAGAACTGCTGGTATAGGGTTTCCTTTTGGAGTAATGAAATGTTCTGGAATGAGGTTGTTGTGATCTTGTACAACATTGTGAATGTGCTGAATGCCTCTGGCTTGTGTACTGTAAAATGGTTAGGTAATGAATTTTATGGTCCCTGTATTTTACCATAATTAAAGTAGATTGCTATACTGATTGTCTATTTTATATTGAAAATGGAGTGTTTTGGTGTCTGATCTCACGTGACAATTTGTGAAAACCTTTTCTGGTATTTTTTAATTTATTTAGGTAAAGTGATCCATTCTATGGTAGCTCACTTGGATGCTGTTACAAGTCTAGCAGTCGATCCTAATGGAATCTATTTGATGTCTGGAAGTAAGTTTAAATTTCCTGTGTCACCTTTCAAGTTTATAAAGAATTAATAATATCAAACTTTATTTATGGTGTTCTTTTTACAGGTCATGACTGTTCCATTAGATTGTGGAATTTAGACAGCAAGACATGTGTTCAAGAAATAACAGCTCATAGGAAGAAATTGGATGAATCCATTTATGATGTTGCTTTCCACCCATCAAAGGCATATATCGCCAGTGCAGGGGCTGATGCCCTTGCTAAAGTATTTGTGTGATACACCAAAAACTTGTATCATTATGAAAGATTTGCTTGGACAGAAAGAGGGTCTGCATCACTGCCATCGAAAGGTTGCTGATAAGACACTACATGTGATTTGCCTGGGTGTGAAGGCTTTTGGGGGCAGACATAAATTGGTCGGAATCACATCTTAAATAATGTCAGGCTCATTAATTTAACTATAATGACTATTTTGCGGGACAGAGAAAAAAGACTCCAGTGTTTGCAGCCTGTGCTGGAGAGGACTGAGCATATGTCTGTTTCTTAGGTGTCTTTAAGCCAATTTGGAGTCTGGTCTTTCTTACAAGAAGACTTTTCCTTTGGACTCTGTGTGCTGCCTTAGGGTTAGGAATGTGGTGCTCTTGTTGGGGGAAGTGAGCTCCAAGAGTAGCTTTTTCTCATCTCTTAGTGATCTGTTTATTGGTTGAATGCCAGATTCCCTTTTAAATTTATTTTGCTTTAAAAAAAAGACTTTAACTTAAAATATTTTAGCATTAGTTGCACAAAATGTTTGGATAAAATTCTAGTTTTTATAAGTCTTTTTATATATTTAGCCTGTCACAACAGTGCTTAAGATTGTATTGAAGTTTTTCTGCATTATACAACCCTAAAACACAGAGATCTCACTGACCCGCTGTCGTGTAACCACACACTTTCCTTCTTTCACCTAATACAGCTCAGCTAAGTCCTTCCACAAAGATGCTAAACCTTCATTCATCATCACATTAGTGTCTTCATAAACCAAGGACTATTCAAGTGTATTAAAATGAAACAGTGGGGTGTAGTACTCCAGATGAACTCTTAAAGAAAAGAAGCAAACTAATCTTGGCATCCTATCACTATGTGATATTTTGTACATCTTACTGTATTTACAAGTTTATTTATCAAGGATTATCCATCTTGCTAATGGCCTATTATTTATTTCACTTTTTGTTGGTCCTTATATCCTTTTATTAATGTGCTAAAGGGCCCTGTATATCTACTTTGGGACTCTGAATAGTCTAAAATAGACTAAAAATGGAATATTTTATAGTTTAAGTTGTAAGCCACGGTGGTGACCCCCAGATAAATATCTTGATTTACCATGATTCCAAACAAACTATCTTGTTTAAAAGTATTCGGGGTAAAAACTTTATTTGCATTACAAATATGATACAAAAATTGTTGAATCAAAGACAGAAATCTGCTGTGTTTGAACTAGTCATCCCTGTTTTTATTTTTTCAGATGTGCTTAATTTTATGGTGTAACTAAGGATTTTGTTTGTGTAATGCATGATTAAGACAATACAGTATTTTTTCTAGTCTTCCAAAAACTTTTCTGATCAGTTTGCGAGTTTTGATGCGTTTTGTAAGGTTTTTGTTTTACAAACTATGAATCAGCAAATTTTTAAGATTGTACCACATAGCAAACCTCCTACAGCTGTTGAAAAATAATGTATATAAAATGCATATAATAAATAATTAATTGTGTACCTGTATGTTACTGTTGGCTATATTATTTTGTGTTAAATAATAAAGTGCAATACTTTACACTCCATTTCCAAACTAAGAAATGGAGATGATTTCTTAGTCCTTCATTTTTATGCTGTTCTTTTAAATTTTGTTGCTTATTTATATTCTAATAAGATTAGAGCAGGATAACACTAGCATTAAGAATGCCTTTCCTTATAAATATATATACATCTTTCCAAATATTTTACCCTATTTGGGATTTTAAATTTTATATTAAAATAAGTTAAGCAATTGAAACCAATGCAGTTCAGCCATTTGCGTAGATGTCATATTGCCTTATAAAATCTAAACTTCAGGGTGCATAAGCAAATGTGAAGAAAGCTGATGGTGCCCGGCTATCAAACGATATAGC